TTTCATTACTCGTACGTTATTGTTCTATTCAATCTGAAGTACTTTATTGTTCTATTTAACCTGTAGTTAATCTGCAGTACGTCATTGTTGTAATGAATGTGCATTGTGCAGTATGTAATTCTAGTACAGGAATTGCAGTACGCTATTGATGTACTGGAGCCAGAATAATAAATAACATGGTTCTTTATCTGAGTCCAATTATTATTGTGTATATTATCTACTAGCTCGTTTTGTGTGTATATAAATGGATCTTTGTTTTTTATTAATCTCTTGAGATATCCAACAATCAGTCTTTTTTTTACCATTATATATAATATATGTAATATTTATAGATAACTGTGTTCACAGGCAACTTGAACAAAGATTCTTAAAGGGAATGTCGTTGTATTTTTAAAGACCTTTCTTTAAAAAAGAGATGCATGTCCGATTAACATAGATACCTTTTTACATCTGTCTCTGGCCCATAATGTAGAAGTTAGCGTCGAATTTCTAACTTTAAGAATGCTTAAGTCTGAAAATTACCTCCATTTGGTAGAAATTTGCAAGTAATCAAATAATCAAATTGAATTAAGAGAAACATGGACAGCTCAGACAAATATTTAAATGGTACTGTTGTGAATCTGACACGACGCTTTGGAGTGTCATTTGAAATTAAGATTACAGTCCCTTTAAAGGGCATATCGACGTAGTTGCAAATGCCTCTCAAATTTAACTGTTTCATGTCCAATTCACAACGGTCCCATTTTCAAAAAAAGATATTGTCGTTTTCCTGTTTTAAAACTCGAGAATCCTCTTAATATCCTTCCTTTAGTCAGCTTCATACATCTACAAGCTGCACTTTCTATCAAAATGTAATTTCAGATGAAAGGGAAAATACCATCATTTAACCAACTTAGAAAAAAACTAAAACAGTCCTGTTTTAAATAAAAGATGCCTCTCTCTATATATAATGAAGGGCCACTTCATAGTAATTCTGCAGTCCCTTTAAACGACTACGCCCCTTTAAACCTTTATCAATTAATAAACCGTTTTTTAAAATTTTTCAGCAAAGTATTTAGATCTTATAAAGTTTGCAAAGATATGAGGATTTGAAAACCAAAGATTGAGAGTGTTTCATTTTAAATTCTTTAAGACAAAGACCAAGTTCAACCTTAAGATCTTCAAAATCAAAGAGTTTCAGGTCGCCATTAAAGTACCAAGCTGTGTGGGCACAACCAGCTGTATAAGGGAAAAGATAAAGGAAGCTGATGATGAATAGAATTTCTAATTCATAACATGTGTATTGAAGGGGGAAGGGGATCGGGGGTTCGACTGTTTGTATTTAATTTCTTAAGTAAATAATTCGGTATACTCACCTAGTTTTCTTTTTTTAGTTAATTTCAGATTTATTCATTTGATATTGTAAAGATGTATTTTCACCCCAATTTTTTTAAATGTCATATATACAAACAAAAGTATAATAGAGGGAAGGCTAAAAAATTGTGTTTAATACGGAAAATCTCCTAATTTTCCTTTAATTACACAATTCACGTCGAATTAACTTATAATTGAATCAATATTGTTTCGCCTAGTTCAGGCATTTTTTTTATTGGTTCCGTATTTACTACATAAACTTAGATTCAAATACCATATCACACATATATATGAGTTTTTGTGTAGCTTGGACACAGTTTTATATCAATTTCTCGAGACAGGGACATCAGAAAAACTAT